TCCTCTGGCCCAGGGGCCCACGGACTCATAATCCGCCCCTGCCCGTGACCTGCACATGGTCTCATTCCCACCATCAGGAAGCTGTTCCTCGGATAATCCAAATTCATTAGGTACGCAATAAGGACCTTGCTTTGTAAATTTACCATCACAGTGGTAACGATCCCACTCCCAAACCCAGCTAACATGTAACCCTTGCTGCTCACATGTCAGATGCAGCACTTTCCAATGACTCTGACTAAAGGCTTTCTGACCTGGAGCGCCCCCAGCTGGTCAAAGGTGGCAGAGCAAGCTGTCCCTGTAAGTTTCCAGCATGGAGGACAGATACATCAACCAGCCATTTTTCCATGAGAAACCCAACACAAACACACAGGACAAGGTGTCAGGTCAGCCGCAGAAATGAACAAAGACATCATGTGGCTGAGAGATCTGAACCGATGCCTGAGTGCTCACACCCATACACTGAATTAGCGCTAGGCGTTAGGAAACAGTTTGAAAAATTTATTTTCAGAAATACAAAACTGATTCGAAAGCAGTCCTATCCCAAAGTCAGGATGCACTGAAAACCCAATTCTAGATGCAGATCTTCACGGAAAATAAGCTACCTGTGGACAGAACAATCATTTTCACACATTACAAAAATAACACCCTCCTCATTTTTAGGGTTTTACAAGTCTACACAAGCAGAGCTGGTTGAGCTCCGTCAGTCACGCCTGAACCCACGCGCTGCCGCTGGGTGTAGCTGGTTATCCCGGTTAGGGTTTAGCTGGGTGTAGCTGGTTATCCCGGTTAGGGTTTAGTCTAACCATGGATCTCTCCATGCCTGACACCAGACAGCATCCTCCTGGTTTTACTGGTAGTATGGCCGATACCGAGACTGATCCGGATGGTGGGGTCCAGGCATCTGGCCCTGAGGCGGGGGGCCCTGCATCCGTGGGGGTGGGGGCCCGCGGGGGGCTGGCCACATGCCGGGACTGAGCCTGCCGGGCTGGCTGAAGGGGGGGCTCAGTGTGCCCGGCTCGTCAGGGAACTGCTGCATGGAACCGGGGTTGTAGTGGAGGGGGGGAGGCACATTTATTCGGGGGCCCCCATGCTGGGGAGGAGGCCCTGGGGGTGGGGCATTCATGTAGGGTGGCATCGAACCGATGATGTGTCCAGGTGGTGGGGTGAGGGGGGGCGGGCCTGATGACATGGGCGGAGGTGGGGCTTGGCCATACACCATGTGGGCCGTCCCTGACCCCTGGGGGGGGTGCTGCATGGGGTGGCTAATCGGTGGCGGGGGAGGGGGCGGCCCATAATGCTGCTGCGGGGGCATCATAGGCCGGGGGTGGGGCACAACTTGCTGCCCAGGGTAGTCACCAGGGTGGTGATGAGGGGGCGGGGCCAGCGGAGTGGAGGGGGGGCCAGGGTGAGGAAGGGGGTCCCGGGAAGAGGAGCTACCGCCAGAGTCGTCCTGGATGGGGACAGTGATGAGGTTGCTGTGCTTGCGCGTGGTCACCGTTGTGATGCGGAACGTCTCCTGAGCCAGGGAGCGTGGCGGGTGTAGGTCAGGCGCAGCGGGGGAGGGGGCCTGAACAGGCCGGACATCATCGTGCCCTGGAGGCTGGCCATAGGCGTCGCGGCCGGGGTGCTGCAGTGCCATCAGTAGGTGTGGCTTGGCCAGGTGTGGCGGCGGCGGGGGCAGCATGAAGCGCTCGCTCAGCTCGGGGGCAGAGTGCAGCGGCTCGCCCCCTCCCAGGCCGGCACGGCCCCCCGCCGGCTTGGCTGCCCGCACGTGCCGGTGGTTGATGTGCGCCTGCAGGTCGCGCTGCGACAGGTAGGTGCGCTTGCAGCCCTGCACGATGCTGCACATGAAGAGGGAGCCGCGCAGGCACTGCTCGATGCGCTGGACCGGGTCTGTGCAGCTGTACAGGGACACACTGTCCGCGGAAGTTAATACGGGAAGCAGGGTGGGGGACACTCGCACACACAAGGCACCCCCTGCTGGCCACCTTAGGTACGACAGTGACAGCACAAACAATCCACTCAAAGAAACACCTACTTGAAGAGACATGCGATTTCTGCATGATTGAGCAAATTCTGGCTCGGGCAGGGGTCCTGTACTGGTCTAATTCCCCAATTCCAGTCCTCGGGGACCATAGTCAGTCCATGTTTCCGCTCCCTCTGAGCTCCCTGCCAGACAGCCCACATTTTTGCTCCCAGAACCACCTAAGCCTACATTAGCAGTGTGTCACTGTTGCCCTGAGCTGTTATTTTTGCACCTGCGGTCTTCCTGTTGGCTTTAACGAGCTTCCCTCTGATCTCGCTCATTAACAGGACGTTTTTCCCACCAAAATGCCTCCAACTAGATGTTTTTTGTTCCTGTTCATCACACCATCCTCCATATAGTCCTGGCTGATGCTAAGGACACTTACCCCGGACACATCTTGTCAGACTTCTTCTCGTGGAGCACAGCACAGTCATAGCAGAACACGTGTTTGCAGGGAATCTGCAGGGAGGGGTCGTACACAACAAAGATCACCAACAGCTGCACGTCGATCAGATAAAATGCATACGCGGCCTGCCGGAACCCGACTCCAGGCCAGGGCTGATCCTACCATGCGTCCGTAAATGCGTATGGGCAGGCCGCATTTATCACAGAAGTGAACGGGGATGTCGTCCTTCTCACCAATCAAATTCACCTGAGGAGGTCAAAGGTCACATTGAGAGTGTCATAGAAACAGACGGAAGTGGCAGCGTCACCACGCCCCCTTGTGGAGGTCCTGCCCTTTCCGCCACACACTTTTAACCCTCAAACATACTCCTGATCTCAGACATTCAGCCTCTGAAACATAATCTGGCAGCACATCCCACTCCTACATCAAAAGAGAGGTTGATACTTTCAGACTCGGGGCTGAGAGGTCGAGGGCAGAGGAGGACACACCTACCTTATGGTCCCAGAACATGTGCTGGGGAAACTTTGCCTGGCTACCAAAGGGGTCCCCCGACCTTTCCTCTGCAAGACACAGGCCAGTCGCGGTCAGACACAGGCCAGTCGCGGTCAGACACAGGCCAGTCGCGGTCAGACACAGGCCAGTCGCGG